TTTCAATTAAATATTGAAAAAAAATAAAATAAAAAATTAACATGTGAATTAAATAAAAAATTAATTAGTTATATTTTTTGAATTTAAAAAAATCAATAGAATTTAAAAAGTTTAAATTTGAAAACAATTAAATTTATTGAATATACTTTAAATATATATTAATTTTTAAAAAAAAAAAAAATAAAAAAAAATGAAAAATTTCAAAAAAAGATTGAAACTCATCATTTTCATTTAAAAAAAAAAGCTTTTATTTTTAAAATTTGTTTAATTTCACCATAAAAAAAAAAATCAGTTTATTCAAATTTAAAAAAAAATTTGTTTTTCAAATAAAATATTTTTTTAAAATTATTTAAAAATTTTTAATTAAAAAAAATAAAAAAAATTTTTTATTTGAAAATTAAAAGAATTTCCCAAAAAAAATTAAAAAAAAAAAAAAAATCTTTTTCAAAAAATCAAAAATAGATTTAATAAATTTACCATTTTTTCAAAAAATTTAATAAATATTATATATATAATTTAAATATATAAAATGTTAAGGCAATATATTTAAAAAAAATTAAATCAAAATTTTTCAATGAAAATTTAAAATTTTTAAAAAAAAAAAATAAAAAAATATTTAAAATTTTAAAAAAATATTCAAATTCAAAAAAAATTAAAAAAAAAAAAAAAAATTTTTATTTCATTAAAAATTAACAATAAAATTATATTTAAAAAACAAATTTCATATAAATTAAATTAAAAAAAAAATAAAAATATTATATTTAAATATTTTTTCCAAAAACTTTTTTTTTTGCATTATTTATGAAAATTTTAAAAAATCAATAAAGAATGTTCCATTTAATTTATTTTTGAACAAAAAATTGAATTTTTTGAAAATTTTTAAAAAACAAATATATCCTTAAAAAAAAAAATATTAATTTCATCCACAAAAAAAAAATTAAAAAAAAAAAAAAAATAAAAATTAAAAAAAAAACATCACAAAAAAAATATGAAAAATTAAAAAAAACAAAAAGAAAAATTTTGAAAAATTTAAAAAAAAAAAAAAAAAATTTATTTAATTAAAAAATAAAAGAAAAATAAAAAAATTTTTTATAAAAAAAAAAAAATTTAAAAAATAAATGAAAAAAAAAAAAAATGAAATAAAAAATAAAAGAAAATTGTGTTTTAAAAAAAATTGAAAAAAAAAAAAAATATTCATAAATAAAAAAAAAAAAAATAAAAAAAAAAAATGATCAATTTTTTTTTATCTAATTTAATTTTCAATTTTTTTATGAAAATAAAAAAAAAAATGTTTCCAAATTAAATTATCGAACAAAAAAATTGAAATGTTAACATCTTTTGAATATTCCTTTTAAAAATAGATGAAATATAATATTTAAAATATTAAATTTTATTATTATTTAAATTGTATTTTTTTTTAATAAATTGTAAAAATGCAAGAATTTTTAAAATTTTTTAACCAAATTTTGAAAAAAAAACTTAAAAAAAATTAAATTATTATATATTTTAATAAAAAAAAATTATAAAAATTTATTTTTAAATTGAATTTTTTTTAATAAAAAATCAAAAATTGAACAAAAAACAAAATTTAAAAAAAAATCAAAATTTTTAAATTTATCCTAAAAAAAAATAAATTTTATATTTTTTCAAAAAAAAAAGACAAAGTTAAATTATTTATAAAAAAAAAAAATAACAAAAATAAAATTCATTGTCAATTTCATTTGAGAATAATATTTTGATTTAATTCATATAAAATATTTAATATTAAAAAAAAAGATAACAAAAAAAAATTTTAAACCATAAATAAAAAAAAAAAAAAAAAAAATAAATTTAATGATATATTTTATTTTTTTTTTTTTTTCTGGTTAAAAAATATTTCAAAAATTATGTTTTTTAAAAAAAAAATAAAAAAAAAAATTATCTTGATAAAAAAAAATATTTTATTTTAATTTCAAAACTTTCATAAAAATTCATTTTATAAATGAACTAAAAAAAAAAAAAATAGCATATAAAAAAAAAAAAAAAAAAAAAAAAAAAAAAAAATTTTTAATTTTTGTTTTAAGAAAAAGACAAAAAAAATTTTTATAAAATTATTAAAAAAAAAAATTTTTTAAAAAAAAAAAAATTTTTTTTTTTTTTTTTTTTTGTCAGTGGAGGGGACTAAAAATTAGTAAAGGAAATTTAGTATCTTTTTTTTGAAAAAAAAATTTGGAAATTCTTGCAAAAATCAAATAATTGTTGGATTTTAATGAAACTTTCAGGACTTATTCACAAATGAATGAAATTATTTTAAAATTTTTTTCACAAAAATGAAAAATTTTTAAAAAATTTTTTTTTTTTTTTTTTACATTTTTAATTAATTTATTTATTTTTTATGAATTTTTTCAAAGAAATTTTTTTTTTTTTTTTTAATATTTTTTTTATTTGAAAAAAGCAGAACTCCTTGGAGAATTTAAAATTCAATTTTTTTTTCAAAAAAAAAACACCCCTATTTTAAAAAATTTCTCTGAAAATAAAAAAAAAAAATGCAATAAAACTAAGACATTATTTAATTAGAAAAACTTTTAATTGCTTTTATGAATAAATATATTATGGACACTATTGTTTTAAAAAAAATTTTTTTTTTTGATGAATAATGATTTTTTTTACATTTTATTTTTTGTTTTTTTTTTTTTTTTTTTTTTAATTAGAATAATTTATAAATTTAAAAAATCTTTTAAAATTTTTTTATTAATTTGTACTGTTTAGGGAATATTTTATTAAAAAAAACTATATTTACTAATCATAAATTGAAAATTTTTATTACAAAAATTAAACAACCAATATTTTAAAAAAAATTTTTTTTTTTTTTTTTGTATTGTATAAAAACATACAATTTTTTGTAAATACAGATGTCCATACATGACATTATCAGAAAATAAAAAGATAATATATAGTAAATTTAAAGCCAAAATTACCTAAAATTCAATAAAACATTAGATTATGGAGAATATTTTCCTAAATTTTTAAGATTAAAGGTAGTTAAAAATATATAATTAAAAAAAAATCATTATATTTTTCATATAATTTTATAGAATTGAGCTGTCAACATAAAAAAATTCCAAACATAAAAAATGGAAGACATGTCAACATATTTCAAAACAGTTTAACTACCATGTCGGCTTTGCATTTCTTTGATATTTTAAACTTTTAAGTAATATTTGTTTCAAATCAGATTAATTAAACTTTAAATCAGCTAATATTCCTCAAATAAAGTTACTTTAAAATACTTTCACCATATTAATGATACCTTTTTGAAGTGAAAAATTTATATTCATGAATGTAAATTTAAGTTTTTTAAAAATTTAATTTTCATAAATACAAGCTGAAGACTACCTATAAAATTAGAATATGAAATAAATACACAAAAAAAAAATTTCATTAATAAAAGAAAATAATTTAAAGAAACAATGGATTTTTTTTGAATAACTTTATGTCAGTTTTTTTTTAACATTATGTTTTTAATTCTATTGTACTGAATAAAATATACAATTTGTATCTATGCAAATACACACACACATACATACATACATACAGGATAACTACATATAATTTTTTATATATCAAGAAAAGCTTTAGAGGAAAGATGCATGACAAAGTGGAAAATGTTTTCATGTGACACATTTCATTCTTTAGGATTTCATTAGGTAAAATTTGTTTATGTTGATTCAACTACACAAGTACATGGATGAGAGATGCTGGAAATTTAAAAAAAAAAAAATTTGTTTTGGGTCTATACTCTAGCCAATTTCATTTAAATTCATTTTTGTTTTGTTTCCATCATCTTTGTTATTAAATATCATACATTCTGATAACACAAGATCTGCAAAGAAAGATTTAAAATGAGTTGGAGCAAATTATAAATATTGAACTAAAAATAAATCACTTTGAAAAACATTTTTTAATCAATTAGACTTTTAATGAAGAATGCCAATATTTTGAAGTTCTATATATGTTAAATCTATTGAATATTAATGTGTTTTACTGTATTATGTTTAAAAATATTCTTTTTTGTGCATATATTTGGTAACAGAAGCAATTGGTTTATACCAATGGCTTCCCATAAATTTTAATACATAAAAATTCACTTTCCGTGGTTATGTGTGATGTCATGAGCTGCCCAAATTTTCACTTCCAGCATCTTATAATACGTGTTTATCATTACTTGGAAATCATCCATGTAAACAGAAACAGACTATCATCACTTTCTTGTCCATGTATTGCTTAATATATTGTAATTGTAATTGTCATCTTTGATAATGGATTGATAAAAAAATGTATCAAATTGCTTAGATTGGATTAAAAAATATGTATCAATATTGTGATTTTCTTTCTTCGTTTTTAATGATAATGTTATTAATATATTATATATAGACGTTATGAAAAGAATTTACATAAAATAAATAGACAACACTTGTCTATATTATTTAATGAAACATGTATGCCAATTTCACAAAATGTTCAGACCAAGATCACATTGAAGCAAATAAGGTATCAACATGCATAGTGATTATGTTTATGTTTTATATATATATATATATATATATATATATATATATATATATATATAAAAAAGACACACATGGACAAATATATAATATAAAAAGACGATTTATTGAACATACTAAATAAATTGATCAATGTATGTACTAAAATAGATGCTGATATTATTTATCAACTGTTTCAAATTGATAAAATTATGTAAAAAGCTACACTAAAATTTCTTCAGTCTTTTATTTCATGTGTAGTCATCTAAATGATTTTAACCTTTCTTAATAAATCACACAACTGTCTGTTATTTTTTTTGTCTTTTGAGAAGATCCGTCAAACTATTCTACAGTTACATCCTCCTCAAAGGACATTTCAGAAACAATTGATTACAATACACTACTTACTGAGAAAGAAAACATTTTTCAAGCACAACCATTCTCCAAGACAAATAATCAAACCAAAGTACCCACCCTGCCATCTCCTTCATTGTAGGTAAGGGCCTCTTTATAGCTAGCAACAGCATGCTCGTAGTCTGAATAATTCATTGCATGTTGTGCCATTTCACAACATAGTCTGCAAAAAAAACATGAATCAATGTTTACAATAGAGTGAAAAAAGGTTTTAAAATAAAAAATAATAGTAGGAAAATATAACAGTTACAAAAATGAGAATTCTTAGGCAAATAATAGCCATCCACTCATTAAATTATCTGCTAACATGAAGGAGGTTTTACTATATGGAATAACAGACTATAAAAAAAAATTCAGAAGTTTCACAGAAAGAAACAAAGGCAAAGATACTTAAGAAAAAAAAAACAAAAAAAACAGAATTCATCACCAAATAATGACACTTTGACAAATGTTATTTTCAACCATACTTATGGTTGTCCAACCAAAACAGGGGGATCAATGGTCAGGGAAAACTAGCAATCAGAGAAGTTCCTGCAAATTTCTAAAAGTTAAGGAAGGTCTTACTGGTAATAGAAAGTTAAAAAATTTTATAAAATTTACTCATGGAAATTCTGGAAAAATCAGGCAATTTTGTCAAATTTTGTCAAGGAAATCATTGAAAAGTCAGGTTATTTTGTAAACCTGGATCAAGGAAACTTTAGACAAATCAGGCAATTTTGTAAAATTTGGTCAAGGAAATCATTGAAAAGTCAGGTTATTTTGTAAACCTGGATCAAGGAAACTTTAGACAAATCAGGCAATTTTGTAAAATTTGGTCAAGGAAATCATTGAAAAGTCAGGTTATTTTGTAAACCTGGAAAGGGGAAACTTTAGACAAATCAGGCAATTCAGAAAAATTTGGAAGGAAAATTGAAAATAAAGGTTATTTTCAAACCTGGATCAAGGAAACTTTAGACAAATCAGGCAATTTTGTAAAATTTGGTCAAGGAAATCATTGAAAAGTCAGGTTATTTTGTAAACCTGGATCAAGGAAACTTTAGACAAATCAGGCAATTTTTTCAAAAAAAATTCAAAAATCATTGAAAAATCTTGTTATTTTTGTAAACCTGGATCGTAGAAATTTTAAACAAATTTTTGTAAAATTTGTCCAGATAAATATAATAATTGATGGGAATTTTTCATATGTATTTTCGTATTTTCTTCAGTAGTTGTATAGATCTGAAGACAGAAAGTTAGGAAAGAAAATTTTTCAATTTCCTAAAAGAATGTCACCTGAATTTGTTGAAAACTTTCAAAGTTATGTTACATAAAAAGTAAAAGTAAAAAGAGAATGAATTCATTAAATACAATCCAAACAGAATACAATCATAAATATGCTTTTCTCAAAGGTAACAGGTAAGGAATTCATTCAAATACTATTACCAGAAGTTCATAACAAAACTATTTCATATAATCTATAACCTTGAAAATTATCTACAAGCAGAATTTTGGATTAATGTTTTGTTTGTGTAGTATTTATATCAATTTATTTACTTTAGTTTAGCCCTTATTGTGTGTGTGTGTGTGTGTGTATATATATATATATATATATATATATATATAGATAGATTGTCCTGGGTATGACATGTAAACTGCAACCAGTGGTGTGGCTCTAGATTTACTATTTAGAGTCTTGGGGAATGTGGAGTTACCCCTTAAATGCCACTACTCCCAGGTCCACACTGGCATGGAGTAGTAGTACCTGTCTGGGTCCCATCTATGGGCTAAATAGTTTGTATGCATGAGTGTGCATGTTTGTCACGTAAATACACTCTGTGTGTGCATGTGCACATGTGGGACAGCTGTGTATATATGTACCATGGGTATAGAATATCTACATCATGTATATATGTATATGTGTACATAAGTATATGGGTAGATGGTGCTCTTTAGCCATGTTTATGTCAACCAGTCTAAGAGAAGGAAACACAGATGACAAACCCGTAAGTGAAATAATTACTGGTCATCTTGCCTTTGCTTGCCACCAGATCATAATCATGGAGGCTTAGAGAGTGGCACTCATGCTGTACAAGCGTTTGTCACTATAATCAAGTGATGTACAGATGCCTTTTCATGACATCTCTCATTTTATTCGTACACCTCAACCAAAGTCCATGGCAATGGATGAAGGGTAACATGTGGGAAGGTGCTAGAAAAGGTGCACCAAAAATTGTCTGTCACATCAACGCTGGTAAGTCTCCTGCGGCTAACAGTGGTTCACTAAAAGCAGGAAGAACAACAATAATATTAATGGACACCAGAAAATCTACGCAGAGGATCGGGTCAAACTCAACATTTGTTGCTAGAATGTCAGAACTCTCTTAGACAGAAACTCATCCGAACGTCCAGAGCATAGAACCATTAGAGTTACAAAGGAACTTCAGCGTCTAAACGTACACATAGCAGCTCTGGCAGAGACACAACTGGCAGGAGAGGATCAGCTAACCAAGGCATTGTCAGGTTTCAAGATTTTCTGGGTAAACCCAGAGCTGAACAGAGAGAGGATGGTGTTGGATTTTCCATCAAATTTCTCTTCTTGATCACATCAAATTTCCTTCTCGTGGGAATGATAGAATTAGGAAGATATGGGTGCCACTGACGCATGATCAGCATGCAACACTCTGGGCCCCTCTATGCACCAACCCTACAGGCAAGCAAGGAAGTCCTTGATTCATTCTACGAGTGTCTTTGCTCTACTATAGCAACCATGCCTGTTGGTGATAAATTACTGATTCTTGGAGATTTTAATGCCTGTGTGGCAAAGACTGCAAAACTTGGGGCATTAGTGGCCTTTTTGGCATTGGTAAAATGAATACAAGAAGATTGAGGTTGCTCAAATTTTGTTCAGAACTTGATTTAAACATCTGCAATATGTTTTCCATCAACAGATTAAACATAAAGCTATGTGGTTTCATCCAAGATCCAAGCATGGTCACATGACAGACTACATTATCACTCTTAAATGAGATTCAAATGATGTGTGTTCGGAACGTGTAATACATAGTGCAGAATGTGAAACTGACCATAAATAGGTGCATGGAAAATTCAGGACATGATAGCCTTGACTTCAACGCTACCTGCGAGAACTTTAGAGGCTAAGTATATTCAGTAGGTGTCGACATACTTGGTTTCAGAATCCGTTGTTTTGTAAAAGATCTCTTTTGTGTTATTATAATCTTTTTTTTTTAAATGTGTTTTGGTTATATAGTCTGAAAAATGCCATTTAGTTTCTTTTTGTTTATGTTTTTATCTCTTTTGTTATTAAATATTCCACATTGTGATAATATAAGGTTTGCCAAATGCCAAGATAGGTGAAATGTTGTAAGAATCTGGAAGTAAATTTACTCTGGATCATCTAGTGATTAAAGCCCTTTCTACCCACTTTTGTTTATCTTAGTAAGTTGCTTTCCCTTTTAATTAAAATAGCATTTTTTTTTAAAATCAAAATAATCTTCAGACTAATTATGGTAAGCAACTAAAGCATTGAGTGTGTTGTTTTGTAAAAGATCCCTTTTATGTTCATGTAATCTTTTATTTAAATTCCCCAAGGTATCAGTGTAATTTTTATGTTAATCTTTGCACATTATAATGTAAATTCCTACTTCAAGTTTTAGGTTGTTATTTTGTTCTGTATTAATTAAGTCTCTAATTGCTTTAGAAGTATGTATAAAAAATCTTAAGTTCATATAAGTCCTTTTCAATCACACTTGTGACAGGTAGTATTAATGAATTTTGTTTCACAAATTTTCTTTATATTGTTCATTCTTATATTTTTTTTAAAAATATGATAAGATCTTTGTTTTACATTAAATAAAAAAATAATTATGATAGTGGAGGCACTTAAAAGTATTTTCAATTTATTTCTCTTTATCACATAAATAGTGAGGGTGACAAATTCCGAGTGCTCTTAAATAAAATTATCCCAGGTTTTATTTTGTTGTTATGACAAGAAGAGAAATTTAAGATCATTTTTATTCGTAGATTTATGACAAAAACTTAGTTTTAGGTCATTATCAGTACGGCTTAAAATAATTTCAAGAAAAGTTAATGCATTCTGTTTCTTAAGAAAACACTGTTGCATGTTTGATGTTGTTTAGTTTATCTAAAAGATCAAGTAATATTGTTTTGTAGTGATATTAAATAAAGCATCATTAATATATAAGAAATATGTGGATTGGGTAAAATACTTTGGGAAGGACCAGATCTAAGAAATTCCAAGAACAGAGATGCTAAAATCCACTAAGAAGTGATCCCATCAGTAATTGGAGTTTTTGCTTATAAAAATCATTGTTAAAAGTGAAATAATATTGATTTGTGATGAATCAGTCATTTTTTATGATTTCATCTGTTCAAAAGATTGATATGGCAGCTCAATTACAAAACAATAGGAACAAATGGCAAGTCCAAACTCAAAGATCCAGGGGCAGAAAGAAATGTAATGGAAGTAAACGTCAGGTTTATTAGGTTTCAATAACATACTCTCTTTGTGGAATCCAACAAAGATATTTGTTAAAATGGGTCCCAAGGGGGAGCCCATTGAAACAACATTAACTTGCCTGTATATGACGCCGTCAAAACTAAATTTGACTGACATTGTGGCAAATTTCAGCAGTTCGACAAAAACATCCTCAGGAATAACAGGAGACAGCTGACCATGATATAGGGCATCAGCACATATATCGATAGTCTCAGCAAGTGGAATGCAGGTAAAAAGACTGCAAATATTGTAGGAACACAAATTTATCCATCAATGAATAATGCTGCATAAAATCAGAGAATTTGAATGAATCTTTAATACAGGCAGAGTGATATTGTTCCAAAGCTGGCTGTAATATGGTAGAAAGCCATTTAGCCACACCATGTTGGGAAGACCCTATCATGGATAGAATAGGTCCCAATGGAACCCCAACATTATGAGTTATGTGTAAACAATAGAGACTGGGATGAATAGAATCTGAGGGTCTAATTAAATTAGAAATGTCAGTGGGCAATTTCCCACTTTTAATCCACTTAACTAGACGTTTTTGGAACTTAGCCTCAATAGATAATGTAGAATGAAATTTATCTATTGGGCCTAACTGGACAAATTTAGAGAGTAGTGATCATCTTATTAACATAATCTTGATAATCAAGAATGACAACACCAGAACCTTTTTCAGGTTCTGTAATCACCAAAGATTTATTATTACGAAATGCTTTGATTACCTGATATTGTTCACTGTTTCACTTTGATTCATTATGGGAAATTATGGTAAGGTTCAGAACCTTCCAACCAATACCAAGATTAGCAGAACACCCCAATTTTATTTACTGTGTTTAGTAAATAAAACATTCCTATAACTCTAGATACATACATAAAACAATCCATACATTCATTTAAAAGTAAAAATAAAATCATCCTTGATAATGGCTAAAAGTATAGCCAAAATTGATGAACATACAGAACATTTGGACAATTTATACATAATTTATGTCCAGAAAAAAAAAAAATTATAAAAACACAAGAAAACTGGAATAGAAAAATTAACCATAGTAACTTGTCAGTCATTTTTAATGAAAGTTGTATAAAAAGGGATCGTTGCACAAATACACAATTATATGTGTGTGTGTGTGTGTGTGTGTGTGTGTGTGTGTGTAGAAATGAACTAAATAAAGATATATGATCAAATATATATATGTGAGCGATGACATACTCATACAGGTGAGCAAATAACTATTTATTTAATCAATGGTGTAGACAAAACACTACTCAATGTAGTCAAACAGAGCTATAAAGTATATATTAATAATTACACATAACCCAGCATAGTAATTTAATGTTAAACAAATATTTAAACAACTTTGATAGTAACAACAGTACCGACAAAAATTGTAATTGTCAAAAAAATAGTACCTGCCCACCAAATTCTAAATGCATGAATCAAGGTATTATTTACAAAGCTAGCATTGAACATAATGGTGAAACTAAATTTTATTTTGGCTCCACTGCAAACAAGTGGAAAATCTGATATTACCATCATAATGACACTTACCAATAAACAATATTCAAATACCAAAGCACTCTCTAAATTTTTCTGGGAAATTAAGACATGACTACACACCTGTAGCAAACTTTCATCGCCAAAACCAAACCTTTTACTTTCAACAAAGAAAAACATCCTCTGTGCCTCTTAGAAAACATATTCTCAGATACAATGATACATGGAAGGTTTTTCTCATCAGAGTCCATCCTTCAAATCTATAAATCTACCATTCATCCAAGCATTGAATACTGTTGCCATATATGGTCTGGTGCCACTGCCGTTCATCTCAAGGTTCTTGACAAAATCCGAAGACGGATATGCAATGTGATTGGTCCTGACTTATAAGAATTTTTTCCCATTTGTACAAGTGTTAATATGTTAAATTTAGTTTTTTGTTCATCTTCAACCATCTTTTTTTCCGTCTAGACTTGTTCCAGTCACTCCCACCCTAACCAACTTAGTTTCTTTGTCTTTCTATAAATTCCATTTCCCTTATATGTTGTTTATTCCTCTTCTTTCCTTCTTATTCCTCCTCCTTTTTCTTTCCTTCCTTCCTTAATTTTTATTTTTCAAATTTCTAAAATTCATTTCTTTAACAAATGTATTTGCATTGACAAGTCCCAGAAAGAATCTCCCAGGAAATGGCCATCTGAACAGGGTAATATATATATATATATATATATATATATATATATATATATATATATATATGTGTGTGTGTGCATGCATCATTTAGCTTAAACAGTTTTATTTATTTATTTATTTTTTCTTTGGTTCTGAAATTTTTTTGGTTTCCTGGCAGAGTTTGAACATAAATTGTTCAATGGCTTCTACATGTTTTTAACTTTTGAAAGCTATTATCAAATAATTTTATTGTCTGTACTTACACATTGTGTTACTTTGATGGTCATGTCCCCAAGAATAAGTTAATGTTATGTCAGCTTTCTTCACATATTGTGCCCCCCCACACACACACACTATGCAAGGGGTTATCAAAAAAATTCTCAACCTAACCCACTCCTCAAAATTAGCATTCTGATTTTTGGTCCTTAAAATACAGATTTTGGCAAGTGGGTCAAGGCCGGGAATTTTTCAGCACTCCCTTATTTATACAGAAAAAGTAAAATAATTCAATGCAGTGTATGTGAATGGGTTGGTGAATATAAGTAGAAGACTAACATGACTGCAAATAAAGTTTTTTTTTCTTCACAATTCATAAATATTTTTCTAATGAGTATTTTATTTTTTTTTTTTATTCAGTCACACTAGCTTGGACATTCACGAGTCTATAATGCCAAACATTGCGGTCCTGCATCAAGGTTGAAAGGTCATTAGAGTGGCATTGTGTTATAACATAGCTGGTCAAGGTAAGTGGTTCCTGGGTGACCAGCCCTTCTTGTGCCATGGCTAAGTGTCCAGAGAAGTAGATCACTCACAAGTTCTTGTTCTTCTCACCATCAGTGTCCTGCAAAGTGTATTCTGCATTTGCATAAAAGCGCAGAAGTATCAGGGATGGGTCTATAGAGCTATGATTCAGTTGGATGTTGTCTCCAAGAGATGTTAAGTATAGTTCTCAGCATCCAAGTATAGGTACTATCAAGCTAAAACTGTAGGGTTTTAGTTAATGTCCAAGCAGTGACACCATACATTAAAAACCCCTCTACAGTGGCACGAAAAATCTCTGAGGTTTATCTGGGAGATTAGATTTCCAGATTACATCCATTTTATTGACGGCAACCCAGGCTTTAGATATGTAAATTTTAACATCTTTTCAGGAGAACATTTCGCTTCCTACGTATGTAAAAGATTCAACAGATTTTATTGATTCTCTTCAGACAGTTCATCACAACAAATATTTTATCAGATTTTAAAATTTAAAACAAATTTGCTGACATTAAAGATTTTCTTTAACAAATTAAATTATTTTAACCACAAATTAAACAGATTAATAAGGTAATATTTAGAAAGAGATTGTGTCAAAATTTGAGTCATATTCTTAAATAGCCTCGTCAGATTAAGACATTCATATGGATACCAGGCATTCAGAAATGTTTCAACTATCCACTCTATACAACCATTTTCTCAATGATTAAAAATGGCTTCAAGGAAATGAATTTTCTAGGTCTTAATGTAGACTATCTTTCATCAGATATTATAGACTGGCACCACAGAATCAGAAAGATCTTTACCAAATAATAGAGACCACATCACTTGAAGACTTCCAACAGCAGTGAATTGGTTAACACATGTAAATAGAAGAGAAATAATAAAATAATGAAGATGTTAACTTTTCACACAACCTTGAACAAAAGGCTAGGAAATAAAACACTCCCATCAATACTAAAGAAAGACGTATAACTGGATTTGAGAAGCTTAATTTCATGAAAAAACAGCTTTTAAGAAAAAGATTTTAAAAATTAATGCAGACTGTTCAGTTGATGAATGCTGAATGTTTTATTACAAGGAAACAAGTATTTTTACAAATACCATTTCCGTTGCATCTCCCCCTCCTTAAAATGAAACTTGGTGGCTTACCTTCCTCATTATTGCGGTTATAATATATAACATATATCATAATCTGTGAAAACTGCAAAAGTAACAGGTGATGGAATTAGAAAATAAAACACACAGAAATATAAAGAAGGTTAGTGTATTATCAAAAAGAAAAACTGTCCCCTTACTTGGTGATCATTTGACGCTGTACTGGCACCATATCAGGCTGTTCGGTTTGAACCCTCTGGTAGACTCTGGCAAAGAATCAAAGGGCAAAGATCTAAGAGAAGATATTTGTTTGTGAACTCACAAAAAGTAAAATATGACACAAAGTTTAGTAAATCTAATGTTGGCTGTTTGTATGCATCAAAGATCGAGACAAACAGAACAGCATTCATATTTCAAAAGCATACTTATCAAGATACTTATATTTGATGATGACAAATAAGATGTAATTTTGGAGCCTTAAATCTAATGTCTATACTCAGCTGGTGGAATTTATGAACATTCTTACTCAAGTGATATATTTTCTTCTTTTTTAATTTTCCTCCAAGAGAATAGATAAAAAAAAAAAAAGTATTACCCAAAGTCTTACATACAAGGCTGAGATATCTGACTAAGGAATTTTACCCAATCTGTTTTTTTCTTCCATTTTACTGAATTGCTAGACTTTTTGAATTTAAGCTCAGTACTAGACTGGCTTTAAGATCTCATCAATATACAGTTGAGCCGGCTAATAGATTCTATGCTAACAGTTTCTTTTTTGCACTTCTCGCTTGTGGAACTCTCTTCCAGCACCATGATTTCCAGCCACCTTCAAAAATTTAAATGCAATGTCAATCACTATCTACTATCCTCTTCTCACTCATTATTAGTGTTTCTGTTCCTAACTCTTCCACACCCTGTAACCTCTTGTGTCTTACTGGCTTTACTGCCTTGCATGGGGTGAAATCAATTAAAAAAAAAGTAAATAAATAAAGGACTTTTACTATGCTTAAATTCATAACACCATAATATTAAATGTAAATGGGTGGGGTGGTCTTCTATGCCAACAACTATAGTATTCTTTAATCAACAGGGCAATATCTCTCTTGGAAAATCTAATGGTGGACACAGTAAGTAATAGAACTATTTTGTTTCAATTTTTTTAACAATAGAAATAATTGGTAATCAGTTCATAAAAGCAAACAAATTTCTGATGAAAATGTTTTTTGTTTTGTTTTTTAAACATGGCAATGAAGATGGATTCTAATTATTCAAGTGCAAAAATATTTTTTAAAAATGCAATATTTTTAAAATAATATTTAAATAAAATATTTAATATAAAATACAAATATATATAAACTATTTACATTATTTGAACTATTGTCCTCATCTTTGTCGCCATATTTATTACAATGTTTTCAGCAGTTGTACCTCCGGCCTTCTTCAGGTGGTTAGAATGAACCCTTTATTTTAACTGAAGACCTTTATTTACCATGTCAATGGATGTCCAGTTATCAGTTATCTCTCAGTTTTCCAAGTTCTCCATGCCTTAACCAGGATGAACTTACACTCTTTGGGTCCTGTCACTGGATCTAACTAACACCTTTATGAGTGTGAGTTCAATACCTGCTTAAAGCAGTGGAGAACTTGGAGAGGGGAATTAACAGGAGATAACTGATAACTGACATCCATTAAACATGGCACGTTAAACGAGAACTGTCTAACCCAGTGAGTGAAATAAAGGGTTCAGTTCAACATTCCAGCTACCTGAAGAAGTCCAGAGCATACAACAGCCAAAATGTTGTAATAAATATGGCGAAAAAGATGAGGACAATAGTCCAAATAATGTAAATAGTGTACATAATACCTCATCTGAGAAATATAGACAGATACTAAAAGGCCAAAACGTTGTAATAAATGAGAGCGACAAAGATGAGGACAATAGTCCGAATAATGTAACAAAACATAATACCTCATCTGGAGAAATATAGACAGATACTAAAAGGCCAAAACGTTGTAATAAATGTGGCGACAAAGATGAGGACAATAGTCCGAATAATGTAAATAGTGTACATAATACCTCATCTGAGAAATATAGACAGATACTAAAAGGCCAAAACGTTGTAATAAATATGGCGACAAAGATGAGGACAATAGTCCGAATAATGTAAATAGTGTACATAATACCTCATCTGAGAAATATAGACAGATACTAAAAGGCCAAAACGTTGTAATAAATATGGCGACAAAGATGAGGATAATAGTCCGAATAATGTAAATAGTGTACATAATACCTCATCTCAGAAATATAGACAGATACTAAAAGGCCAAAACATTGTAATAAATATGGCGACAAAGATGAGGACAAAGCTCGAATAATGTAAATAGTGTACATAATACCTCATCTCAGAAATATAGACAGATATTGAAATATATATAGAATAAATATAAAGTACAAATATATATTTAATTAATATTAAACATGGTAATGAAGATGGATTCTGATTATTCAAGTGCAAATTTTTTTTTTATTGTATTTTCTTTATTACTGATAAACAATAAAAACAAAGAATTTTATTCCTATTGACATTAATTAGTCAGACTGATGTCCTCATCTTTATTGTTATCATCACAACACTTTGGCCATTGTGTCATCCCAATTTTTTCAGATGTTTGTCAATACAGGTAACCTTCACGGAATTTCAAATTGAACCCTTTTTTTTTAATCTCCTGTCCATATCTAGAGATTATCTCATTCTGTTCATCTAAACAGTACTAAATAAGAAACAAGTAGATATCCCAAGGCATAGACAGCAGAATGAGAACAACCTACCTCATAGATTAACAATAGAACAGCAAGCTCATCTTGGCTTTTTATACACAGAAGCTTTTTAGCCATTGTACTCCCCAAGTTTTTTTCTAGTGTCTACTTGGTAACTTTTTCAGAATTTCAAACTAAACACTTTATTCAATCAATGGGGGTTACATTGTTTTCTTTCCACTTTCCATTCTTAGGGAATATTTTATATCAATTATTACTCACCCATCTTATTCACCTTTGTGTCCTTTGACCATTTCTCTCACTGAACCAGTGCATATGATGTTTCAGCACTACCAGATCAAGTGATTGAACTCAGAACTGCCAGGGAACCTGATATATGGTTTAATCAATCCACTACACCACTCCACTTCAATGCAATCAGATGATGTAATTTTTGAGCTTTAAATCTAATATTTATACTTAGGTGCTAGAACTTATAAACATCCTTAGTCAGATGATTTAATTTTATGAATGTCCTGACTCATGGGGAGGTAGATATGGCCCGAATATAACAACCAAAATGAGAATGCTAGTCTGAATAATAAAACACATAATAATTCCTCATCTTGAAAATTCCAACATACTTTGAAATTATTGAACATTTCTTATTACTGTGGTACTATGAGGATTTGCAGACATACATCTGGTGCAACTGTTTCTGCTACAGATGTGCAATCAGTGAACAGAACAGAAATTCTGACCTAATCTGTTGCATTCATTTTCACACTAAAAACTTCACCAAACAGCTATGGGTTAAATACCAGGGTAGACTGGGTTCTCCAGCCTTGGTTGGCATCCTATTAGAAGGACTAAACTGAATTCAAAATTATAGATAAGGCAACAGGAAAGAATAACACTTTCTTTCCAAAGAGGCCATGACAATTCCTAGATAATAAAGAAAAGGAAACTATAGAGAGACATGAACACCTATCGCCTAAAGGATATGGTATGAACAAAAAATATTGAGTGTTAGTTGTATATACAAGTGCCCAGAACTCCTTTTTTGAAAACTATAAGTGCAAGCTGAAAAGCTCTTGGCCTGACCAAATGACAAAACATTAGTTTTTCTGTTTTTTGGGTTTTTTTTTTTTTAACCTTTCTTGGCTGGACTGAGAACTTTTCAGTTTATAGAAAACCAGTTTTTCATCAAAAACTTTTGTATACATTTTGCATTTTGTTTAAACTAATGTTTCTTAAAATGGACAACTTCAGTGCAACAGATCTGTGGTTCAAGCCAACACTGCAAAGCAATTGTTAATGTTTTTTTTATTTTAAATTTTCTTCAACCCATATCAACCTGGCATAAGTTTAAACTGCCACATTCTTCCCCCACCACCATTTTCCCATATATAATGCAATCATTTTACCAAAGTCCATATTTTTTTGATTTCAGACGAAAATTTGGAATTTTATTTTTCACCATATTTCAGCAAAGTTCTAATCTTCCAAAATTCTAATTTATAATTATAGTTTAGTCCTGTCTTCTTGATTCCTCTTCTTTTATTCTTCTTGCTCTTTAATAACGTTTCTCTTTTTCTTATATTTTCATATTCAGTAACACCTTTTCTCTTAATGGTTTCCTTGCCTTGCTTGGGGTGAAATGATTTAAAAAAAAAAAAAAAAAAAAGATATATGGAAAAAAGATGTTAAACTGACACCAGGTAGATATGGATTTAAAATAAAATTTTCAAGTATTTTTCAAGATTAGTGCAAAAAGATGAACAATATTTATAGATAGAACATAACTTTACTAAGACAAAAATATTTTACAATAATCTGAAAAAAAAAAAATATTAGCAATATTAATTTCAACAATAATGTCTAAAAAACTATCAAGATTGATTGACAAGAATTATTAACTTTTTACAGTGACTGGCTGGGTAGGGACAGATTATGTAGTGATGAAAGAGAGGGTTTGATCTAGCTACTTTGTCGATCATGGCAGTGATAAGGCATTTTGTCAACATGGACATCCAAAACATTTAGTTTCCATGTATTGTCTCTTACCTGATTTGCATTTCTTTGGCTTTTGTAAAGAAAAGCAAGGCATCTTCCGACCTGTTGGTTTGCTGGCAGATTTTTGTCAATAGATGGAGACATTTTGCCTGCTCCTTCATTACATCAAGATCTGTGTCTGGATAAGACAAACAAAAAGAGAGAAAGAGTTTACAAGTAATATCATGGATTATGAGAGGTGGTAGATTATCTAAGGTGCTACAGCATAACTTATTAATACCCATTCTCTACACTTCAAACTGCTACAAAAACAAAATATCACCCTGGAAACTCAAGTCATGTTCTTAAATAGTCTCATCAGATCGAGACTTTCATATGGATGTTATGCATGGCGCCAAACCTGTTCAGAAATATCCAAACTCCCAGCTGTATATCAATTGTTATCTTCTGACTTCTTAATCTTTTATTATCCCCTATCCTTAATAGTAGTTTTTCTCATATAATCTAACAATCAGTAACCCCTAGCATCCTAGTGACTTTATTGCCTTGCTTGGGGTGAAATGATTAAAACAAAAAATACAACAGCTTCCTAAGATCAATGGTGAAAAATAGACAAGCAAGTGGAACCTGAGGGCCTTGGCAAAGATCGTCCCTCGTTGAACATTATGAATCTGTAGTGCGAGTCCACAAAGAACTGTACCAAATAACAGAAACCACATCACTTGAGGACTACCAACAATCACAACAACCAAACTAGATAAAATAATGACATAATCAAGATGTTGACATTCCACATGACTTCAAATAAAAGGTTAGGAAGGAAGCTGCATCAATACTGAAAAGAGCGATAACAGCAACTGGACTTGAGAAACATTCTTTTTCCTGAAAAGTTATTTTAAGAGAAAGATTTTATAAATTTCAAGCAAAAGCAGTACTGGATGCTGTATCAATGTCTACCAAATGTTTCCTTGTAGGGAAACAGGTAATATTATCAATATACCATTGTATCTCTGTATTACCAAATTACTAGGTTGCCTAAAAAATTTGTCATTGAAGGACATCAAGAACATTTAAATCAATTGAAGGCAAAGAATTGCAAATTAATTCAGAAAAAAAGAAATAATATTCTATCAGGATAGCACTAGACAATTACAATCTTTGGTAAATATTTCATTAGAACATTAGCAATCCAAGCCTGTGTTTGAATCTCACCATGGTTGATTAAGGAGGTAATTTCTTAATAACATCTGTTTGGAGAGATGTCCACAGCATGTCGTATTGTTCGAATGTGACTGAAAACTATAGCAAAAGTCAGCCCAATTCTTGTCAGAGAAAATGGATAGATAAAACTGTTCAGAAGCCATCAATGGCCATGCTTTCTCAAAGTCACAAGTCATCGTGACTGAGGTTTTCAGCATACTGTCATGATCAAAGTGTTGATTACATCAGATTATGCACTCTCTCCGAGAAACTGTAACCAAAGTTTGCTCAGCATAGTTGGAGTATGAACCATAAGTTGGTTGTGTGGGTATTGAAGAAAAATACAAACCTGCCTGAGCAAGTGTCTGCAACAATGATTAGCTAGCCAAGATAGCAGACAGGTATAGTCAGAAAAAAGGAGTAACCAGACATTATTATAGTCTGCTCACTTTTCCTGAATCTTCCATATTTATCAGATTACCATTTATCCTAGTCATTATAGAATCAGCCTGATGTAAAAAAAAAATAAGTGATTTTTTTTTTTTTTTAAAATGGAAAAGATATCTGGTGCATATTTCTTTTTTGCCAAAAAAGGTAAAAGGATCTGGCAGAAAGGAACTATAAAGTTTCATGAATGATGACAGAGGATAATCGAGCAAAATATTAAATATATTTCAATTTGATGAAGTTAATATCAGAAATAAAACAACTAATGTCTTTTTTGACCAGCCAACAAAACAGCTGTTGATAAAAATTGTTTAATGAAAATCAACTTGAATTGGCTCTTCCAAAAATATGTGCAGAAGAATTTTGCTTGCAAACATCTCAATTACAATTTATCTAAAAAAGATATGAGATACAGTTGTAAACTGTCCCGCATCCAACTTTCCTAAGCTAAGTACAGATATATTTATATCAACAGCAAAGAAATATTAAACATTACGTTAAAGTTTTATTCCCACCGCCTTGGACATTTCTTTTTCACCAATTTGTCGGGGAAAAAATGACAGGCATCAAACACTGACTTATGTAAAAAAAAAAAAAAATATGAAGATTTTTGCAAGTACGCAAATGAGGCGGCATCATTAGAAGACAACACCAGAAAAAATGTTGCAGCAAAAATAAAGTTACTTCTGTACAAAATGGGACTTCCAGAGGGAAAAACAAAAACAAAAACAAAAAAAAAACAAAACAAATGCACTATTTTTTTTGTTTGTAATAAAGTCATATTTTCAGTTTAAAATGAGCTATGGGGGAAGTGAGAAAAAGTTCCTAGCCCAACCATTTTCAAAACATGACCAAATGACCTCACATCAAATTTTTTTTTCAAAGAGTTTCCAGCATCAACTAATATATATATATATATATATATATATATATATATATATATATTTTAGGATGTTAAAACAACATGCAAAAATTGCTACACAATTGCAGTCATGTTTCAACACATACCATTGTGTCTCCTGAGGCAATTGTAAATGTAAGTGAATGATTAATTTGGTTTCCAAAGCAAAATACATCCACTAAAATACATCAAAAAAAGAGATGTATTTTGCTTTGGAAACTAAATTAATCATTCACTCACCAGTTACAATGGTATGCATTGAAACACAACTGCAATTGTGTAATTTAATATCTTAAAATAATTAATATTACCCTAATTTGTATTGAGTCCTCTTTTAAATTAAATGTATGACCATCAGAACTGTACTCTATTTGTTCTCATCTTACCTGTGTGTATATATATATATATATATATATATATATATGTGTGTGTGTGTGTGTAAAAAATTTCAGATATAATTAAAAATATATCTGTAAAAGGACAATATGAATAAAGACAAAAGGAAAACTTATCAGACGGCTTTTATCCTCTGACCCAACTTTATCAAGGCAAACATGTAGGTTTTATTTTGCACCAAGTATTTATAAACAAAAGTAAAAAATCTAGGTAAATTATGGAGGATGCTAAGTGACACTTTTCAATGTCTCATAAATGAAAGTTATTAAATGATGGTGAATTTTTTTACGCAATTAATAATTAAATTATTTTAGTATGGGATAAATTTATGTATGTCTTTATATTTACCATGTTTATATATATATATATATATTTATGATTTTATTTTATTTTCAACATCATCAATTGATAAGACACAGAGTGTGTTGAAACAAAATGGCTATTTTTGTAGTGATTTTATAACATACTTATGTTATAATTTCTTTATAAATAATAATATATATATATATATATATATATATATATATATATATATATAGCTGGCAGCTCATTTCTGAGTTCACCAGTCTGCTAGGGTAGATAAGTAATCCTTGTTGCAGATGCCAGCTCAAGCATATTTCTGTTTCTACAACACCATGTGGTTTATACTGCAACTATGCTGAGCAGATTTTAGTTACAGATTCTGGAAAAGAACATGTAATCTGGCAACAGTTTGAATAAGGCCAGTGCGATCAGACCTGTGTGTGTGTGTGTGCATTTCTTTTTTTCTGTTCATATGTTATTTTTAATAGGTGCAATTCATGTAAGTAAATGTTCAGTTTTTTAAATAAACAGTATTAATTACATTTACTGGCCTGAATGTATTAAATAGAAATAATTGTCAGACTTAATCCATTTCATATGTTGTCAATGTTTACGTTAAGGTACGTTTCATGAGCAGATATGATTGTTCAGGAAAGATCATTGAAGATTTGTTGTTTATAAGCAGTAATTCAGACTTTGCTAACCAGATGCTTCTTTCTGGCTGAATGGTTAACAGCACATTAGATGAAATGATGGTTCCTACTGGAGTTACAGGTACGATTCCTGTCAGGGAAGCGAATATTTTCTATGAAATTTCTCAAACATTCAGGCCGGTAAATGTGATTAATACTGTTTATTTAAAAAACAGAAGATTTACTTAAACAAATTGTATCTATTAATAATAACGTACAAACAGAAAATATATTAAAGAATTATCGGACTTAATCCATTTCATAACATATATATATATATATATATATCATGGTTTGGCTTTGCAATCTGAAGATCAAGAGGGAGTCGGTACACATTGTTTGCAGGCATGTTAGCTGAAAGTACGGCTTGGGCTTGATGCCATATGCATTATGGTACTTCCTCCTCTTATATATATATATATATATATATATATATATATATTCCCAGATTTGTTTTTTCTGTTTTCTTTTTGAATTTGTAGGTCTGATGAATTGGATTGTATTTACGATTCCAATGGAAAAAATTATGACCATGGAATATTAGTGTTTAAGCTTTTTATTATATATATATATATATGGATATATATATATATTTCAACATATGAATACTTTTAAAAGTCCAACATATGAAAGAAAAAAAGTCCACTTGAAAAAAATAACACTAAGATATACCAATATATATATATATATATACACACAGAAAGAGAGAGAGAGAGTTGTGTATTTGGGAATCTATTCCTCTTTAATAAACGTTTGTTTTTTAAACAAGTCTACCAAAGTACTTTCAATTTGTTATTACATTTTTCTTCTGTGTGAAAAAGTGTTCTTTTTTGGACTTAGTGAGTGTAGAAATAGTCCCCCGAGTGTTTCTAGCTAATCTATTAGTCATCTTCAGGGATTTTAGTTATACTATTATAATAAATGTTCTGTGAGTGCTATTTTAGACAGTCTGAAAGTTGCTTAAAAGAAGTCATATTCTTAATTACTGAATACACCCAAGACATTTTAACCTGGGTTCATAATTCAGGAACACCAATATTCTCACACAGCTATTGACAAATTACCTTGCAAGCACTTAGGTTTCAGGGATTTCTTTGATAAAATTTGTGTTAAGTGAAGTGATTGACTAGGTCACTCTAGAACAATTTCTTTGCTTGGAAAAACTCTCTTGCTTTCATGAAAGTATACCTGTATATCTTCCAAAAGCTAAGCAAAGTATTAAGAAACAGGAAAATTTCAATAAAAACAAAGAAAAGAATGCTGAACTTTTATATAATATTGCTTCTATATGGCAATGAATGCTGGACAATTTCCCCACAGATGAAGAAGTGGCTTCAAGCAACAGAGATCTCAAGCTAGCTTGATATTATTTCATTTTTTCCCTGTTCCTTTTTTCTTTTTATTGCAAACTTTGTTAATTCTGTTTGTTGGACAGTTCTGGTCTTTATTTGGCATTCAGCCACGGCTATTCACTTCACACCAGGCAACATTTTCCAATATTCTGTTGTCTAATTCTTTCATTTTTACTAGATTGTAGCCCCTTTATCTGACAGAAGGGACACTCAGTATAGCCTTCTATTGCTGTAGCCCATCTATTTCAAGTTTCAACTTGCTGTGCATTCAGAGATACTCTACTGTAATTCCTTTGTTGTAAAGACTAGTTATTCTGAGCTAATGTTGCCTTTCTATCAGCTTGAACTAGTTTGGCTATTCTTGTCTGATCACTTTCATCAACAAGGGATTTCCACCCACAGAAATGCCACTCAATGAATTCTTTTTCTGATCATTCTCTATAAACTGTAAAGATGGTTATACATAAAATTCCTTCCTAGGTCAGCAGTTTTTTGGAATCCCCAGAACCACCCGCCTGGCATCAACAACCATGCAAGGTTCAAAGTCACTTAAAATCACCTTTTTTCCCCACACTAATGCATTAAATGAAATTCAACAAGTTGTCATGATCAAGTTTAAATGACTATATCCATTAAATTGCTGCCATCTCATTGATTGATTAGAAATTGTATTTGTGAGCATTTGTTCATGTGTTCTTAATTAAGTGGACAGTGTGTGTGTATATATTGTATATTTTGGCAGCATATTTTCATTGAGACAGCTTTCATTGAATAATTTAGACAAGTTTTGTCTACTTGTTTTCAATTCGATCCTTTCATATTCATGGACAAGGTTTTTGGTGTCATTATTAAAGAAAGAGAGAAAATTACAATGTTGATACATATTGTTTATTCCAAGTACTTTTGACATTAGCACAATGTCATCATCAGTGTGTTGTATTTTTTCAAGACAAATATTGTAGTATTCATCATTTTCAAAGACAAAATTACCGTCTTCATCTGAAAGTTTAAAATTTTTACTAGTGAAATGAAGAATGTTGAGTTTAGTACTTTAGCTTCAGTAATGCTTCAGGGGAGGTAAAGTAAAGTTATGAGGTTGTGGAGAGTTTTTTTTAAAAAAAAACTAAGTATTATGAACTATTGATACAAACCTCGATATTTTAAACTAGCTACTGTACACATTTTAAAAGATTTGTGCAGTATTCATAATTAATTTTATTAAAGTTTGGTTTCACTTTTTTAATATACATAGCTTCAAGAATTTTTAGTTTATACTTATTTTCATGGTAAAGTTTTGATGTATTTTCAACAAGAATTTCTCTGAATTGTAAATGCAGACTGGTATGTTGTAAATGTTTAGAAATGTTGGATGAATCATTCAAATGTAAACTTAGCTGGCAAGATATGATAAAATATAGTTTTAAGGTATGCTGTTTTTATGGGTTAAAGTGCTCAATATCAGGAAGAGAGCCTATATAAATATAAAAGTGAACATTGAAGTCAACACCCATCATATATATATATATGCATGGCATAACAATCCAGCAGGCAACGTAGCAATGAAAAACAGGGTCAAAAATCCAATGTTCACTCTGCAACAGCAGAAACACACTTTCGCCCACCAAGCTCAAAAATTGTTCTGCTGGTAAGCAAAAAACAACAGCCTTTATTCACCAAGTGATTTTTCTGATTGGCCACACCATTCAGGGAGGAAAGAATATTAGCTCGTTTTCTCTGATACATAAAGTAGCAGCTTTCTTGCTGTTTTCTTTAATTCTTCTTTGGCAGATCACACACAAAACACAAACTCTTTTTCGAAGTAGTTGATTTTCTCTTTCGCTACAGTGGTGCTTCTAAATTCAGCCTAAAGCACTTCTCAAAATCAGTATTCTTATATTTGGTCATTGAAATATTGATTTCAACAAGACAGCACATAGGACATCAAAACTTTTCTTTTGTAACCTTTTTTTCATATTCATAATTTTCATAATTTTTAAGGAACTTTTTAATTTTAATAATAATGATTGACAATGCTTCATCTAATATCTAATAAAATAATGCAGATGCAAGTAAATATTAGTAAAAAAAATTAATAATAATAATGGTTGACAATGCTTCATCTAATAAAAACTAAAACTAATAGTGCTACAATTATAAGTTCTTTTAGAAATGTACCAATTTTTATGTTTTTTTTTTTTAAGAGATTAGGCAGATTGTGCATTACCATTCTACCAAGCAGTAAAGGCCTGTCTTGGTAATTCTGGAAATTTACCTCATTTCAAATAACAAATCACTGGCACCAATTAACTGAAATGCACAATTATATCAACCATGAAGCAGACACTCAAAGACAAGTAACATAGATGATGTCAAATAAAATATACATTTGATCCAGCAAAAACACAGTTCCATGGGTTATTATTTCAGCAGCAGGCAGTAGGCCACTGAAAGTAGCAAATTCAAGCAAGTTTAAGTTGGTGTTTTTTTTTTTTAAATAAATAATTTAAAAGAAAGGAAAAATAACAGACAGTATCAAATTTTTCATTTTTGTTTTCTTCAAAAGATATTGGAAGGGAAAAAAAAAGAAATTCTTACATTTAACATCTTGTTCCAAAGTCTGCCTGAGGATCTTCTCTGCCTTTTCATGTTGTTTAAGACGGAGAAGTAATTCAGCCAAGTCAATCCTGCCAAAAGCAACAGACCAATTTACTGAACATGTGTGTATTTCTTGTGTTCCAAACCCATAAACATTCAAGCTAATGTCAAATAACTGAAAAACACATCTTATTCAGACATAGTGACATCATTAATCTTACCAGCTTATCAATATAGTGGAAGGAAAAAATGTTTGAACTTCAGGGAAACAAAGTTTAGAACATATACTGTCAGATGCCAAATATGCGTCTTTCTTTCCACATATTAACAACCAGGCAATGTGCTTAGAAGAGAAATGGGAATAGCTGAAAGCTTTTTAAAATATATACAGAAATATGTGTATATTTCTAAGATGAGGTATTATTTATTATTTACATTATTCGGACTATTGTAATCATCTATGTCGCCATATTTATTACGACATTTCGGCCGTTGTATACTCCGAGCCTTCTTCAGGTGGTTGGAATGTTGAACTGAACTTTTTATTTTGCTCAATGGGGTAGACTGTTCTAGTTCTATGTGCCATGTTTAATGGATGTCAGTTATCAGTTATCTCCTGTTAATTTCCCTCTGAAAGTTCTCCATTGACTTAGCCAGGTATTGAAATCACACTCTTTGGGTCCTGTCACTGGATCTAACACCTTTATCCACTGTGTCATGTGTCCTTGAGGTGATCTGTGTATGAATTTCTGGGTATTATAAATCTAATGTCTTCATCAACCATTTTTTACCAGTGCTCATATTGCAATTTTTGATGTTATCATTATATCTTTTTACCAGAGCTCATATTGCAATTTTTGTTATTATCGCTTTTCTCTGGCACCCCTTATTACTGGTTCCCATATTGTATTCATTTCTATGCTTGGTCAGCTCAGGAGATTTTTGTGGCCTAGCATATGTGCTGATTCATTAAGTTTACAAATTTTCCAATGGTGTTCTTTGTCTATGATCTCAACCGGATCCCACAGAGGGCAGTGATCTCCCTTCTCTCTCCAATGTGGAGACAACATAATAAATATGGCAAAAAGCTTCAACAACAGTCAGAAAGCTGTAAACACAAGTAGGAAGTGGAAAAATCAATTTTGGCTGAACACATATGAGAGAGAAGTGGAACATATATTTTCTGGGATCAGATTGAGATCATAGACAGAGAACACCATTGGAAAATTCTTAAAACATAAGAATCAGTCACAATAGTTCAAATAATTTAAATAATATACAGAAATATTATATTGATTTATAGTAACATTTTTTCTTAAGAATTTCATCTCATTCATGACAGTTGTATTTTAGTTTTCAAGTTAACTGGGATTTCAATAAGTCTTTAAATTAGGTTCGACTTACAAAATGTTGGAACTTGGAAATAAGAGTTAATGTCTTTAATTTTAGTTTTGATTTTGATTTTAATGTTTGATATCGACTCTTGAAATCTCAAACACCAAAATTTCAAACAGAGACTGAAGTTATTACTTATTATTTCTTGGGAGAGCTCTATAAATAATAGAACACAATCTCAGGTATAACAGTTTATTTAGAACTAAATTCTTTAAGAAAATTTCTTGTATTTACAGGATTTTTTCTTTGATTATTCAAACTTCAATTATTTACTGTCATGAAATGAGAATTTAAAAATGGAAATCATTCAAACATTTTAATTCTTCTGTTTATAGTTTTAAATCCATTTTTATATTTTTTTCTTGCATCAGAATTAAATTTTAAAATTTTGAAAACTATACTATTATAAAAAACACTGATAATATCAAATCAATTAATTTTTATTAATTTCCTTGTTTTCATAGAAATTACATACAGTTGAATTGTTGGATGTAGACAAAAATTGAGAATCTTTTTTTTAAAAAAAAAAAAACTTGACAAAACCATTATTTAAAATTTTTTTTGAATATTAAATTTCATTTCAAAAAAATTTTTTTTTTTCTTCATCCTTTTTCAATAATTTAGGTATTCACTTATCTGAAATTTTGAATTATCCAAACATATTTTTTCAATCCTGTCCCAAGGGGATCAAATAATCAAGGAAGTAATGTATCGATGAAAATGCTTGTTTAATAAAAAAGTTATAATTAAATCTAACAATCTAAGATATGCAGATGATAGTATTGATGGCAGACTCCTACATAAGGTAATAAAGGATAGCAAGAAGAAAAGAATAACTATTAGCTATAAGAAGACAGAATGTATGATTATCAGCAAGTGGAATAAGTTAAAGGGTCTACAATGTGGAGGGTTAGAATCAAGCCGATGCAGAAGTTTAATGTCACTTTTGCACCATTTGTAAATTTGAATTTATTTTACTAGCTTTATAGAATAAAAAAGAAAAAACAAATTAAAAAATCTCTATATATTTGCACATTAAATTTTGCATCAGATTAAAATAAATAATAATTTTATGATTTTTTCTTTATTTAAATTTACAGAAAAAACTCAAACTAAAAGAGGAAACATTAACAACAACAACTTTTTATCTAAAGGTCTAATGGAAACTGCCAATTAAACCTTTGACATTTATCTTACTTTATGGGATTTTGGAAATAAGAGGAATATAGAAATCCTGAACTTTCATTAAACAGGTCAAAAATAAACATATTAAAGTAAAAATAATAATAAAGTTTCCTTTTAACCAAATAAATATATGAAAAGAAAGCTTGAAAATTAGAATTCCATTTATTTGAAATTTTAACCACTATTAAACTGAAATAGTACTGTGAAATTATTGTTTAAATTGAATTACTCAAGAAAAATCATTTAGACTCTCATAACAAAGGAAAATTAAAAAGGTCATTTAAACGAACCTCAAAAATGCTTTTGAAGATGAACCAACAAAATTATCAACAATAAGATAATGGGAGATGCAAGTGTTGCATTTTTGAAGATATGAAACTGAAAGATGTCATGGAACAATTATCTGTATATTATTTTGGATCAATAATTGAATTCTGGCCACTATATTCCTATTGACAAGAAGAGAATGCCAACGTACAAACTTTCAATGTATTTGTGAAAATTTTTTCCCAGATAATATCATCAAGTGATTCTAAATGGGACTTTAAATGAATCTGATTTTAGTTCAAAGTTTTAAATACATCTCTTCAATTACATAAGACTGACAACTTTATAAAAAACAAAAAAAGAAATACTTTTATTCAAGAATATTTAATTACTAAGGTGGTAAGTTAAATTGCAAAAATAGAAAAAGGAAGAAAATACTGTTGACAGCACAAATGTACATTATAAACTGGACTTGATATAAACCCAGGCTGAAAAGAATAAGAGGAGGTAAATAATCAAGATGTTAAACCAGAAGTAGAGTCAGCATTGAAAAAGAAGGAAAAAGAAATTAGTAACCCAGGGGAAAAGCACAGAACAAGAGGGGGAAAAGGAATTGAAAACTTTTTAATTATGGGGCATCTGAAAGTCTAAAGGGGGTCACAAACCAATTGAAGGGTCTTTAAACTTTTGGAGGGGGGGTGAGGATTTCCTAAGAGGGGAAAAATTAATTCTTGTTGAAACTGAAATTGCAATGAAAGGGGAGGAACCTAAAATTAGGGGAAAATAAAGAACACTTAAGAGGGAGGAGGGATTATAAAGGGGGCAGTGTTTTCTGTTTCTGAATTTACAAAAGGGGAGAAAAACCTAGGAGGGAGAAAGTCAAAATGATTTTAGTTATATAAAAAACAAAAACAGAACAGGAGTTTTACAAATTCATTGAAAAGTTTTGTTGAAGGCAGAGATGACTAGAAGGAAGGTTGAAAGACAGAAGAGAAAATGAAAACATTAAATAAGAAAGAACAAGTTTAAAAGATATAAATATATATATATGATATAAATAAAATGAAGAGACCATGAAAGAAAGGAATGAAGAAATATTTAACCTAGAAGACTGGAAATATGGAAGCAATGATGAAGTAAAAGAATTTGGCCAGATCAGAAGGAGGAAGATGGGGGAAGAAAAAGTAAATGTGAAACATAGAAATTAATGAATTTAAAAAGAAAAAAAAAAAAAAAAAACAAAAGGAATAACAAATTACCCCAATACAAATATTTGTCCACCTATATATTTGATATATATATATATATATATATAATATATACAGCCTGATTTAGGACAAAAAAAAATGAAAAAAATTGAAAGAATTGAAAGAAATTTCTATAATCAAATTTTCAATGAACATATTTTCACTGGAAATTGTTAACTTAAAGAGCCATCACAAAGTAATAATTGCCAACTTTTTGTCCACACAATGAATGTAAATTTGAACACTTTTTTAAACTACATACCTTCAAATAAAAGAACAGTTGAAAACATAAGTTATATAATATATATAAATATATTTTAAAATCAAATACAATTTAGTTAAAACAGTACAAAATAGTTCTCTTAGATAATATATATTTCATATTGAAAACTTTTACAATTTAAATTCTCTCTTGATGTGTGTCAATGGCCTTGCCCAAGGATCTGTGACTGATGCCAAATCAATTAAGTTTTGATCCTTGCTTGAAACAATCAGATTGAACACTCTGATGAGCTATGATACAGCCAAAACATTCTGTCAGTGGATGACAACTATATATATATATATATATATATATATATATATAATATATATATACGTTAAAAGCATGTCATGTCAAATTGATGAGATATCTTTAATTATTTGTTCTATATACTCAGTAGCTAGTAAAGTTTTAATCACATTGCATTTGTATATTTCAGGTATCTTGTTCATGAAAAAAGCACTGTTAAAAGAACTACTAAAAATGGCTACTCCTTAAGAAAAGGAACGAACAATGTGTGCCATAGTTTATTGAAACAAAATCAGATATGCAGACTCAGCAAAACTAAGACTGGAATAAATCCACTTAAGACATCTATCAATTTCTGTTGCGTCTCAAGAAATTTATGGAGAACTCAGGGGGACTCCATCAGTGAATCAATCCCTCCCTCAAGTGGGGATGTGCATTCTGATTGCATTGAGAGGAAGGATCTGTCCCTGCACTGGTAGTATCA